TGGTAAAATGAATATAAAGAAAAACTTAGGAGTTAGGATATCAATGAGCTGAGATCTGGTTGTATAACCAAGAACTATCATTTAACTTTTTAGTGCCCCTAAACAACGATCTAAGACTATTTATTACAGATTAGTTGCAAATTTGTAAAGATGAAGAGAGTTTCTATACCAGGAATTCTTTAAACTAATAAAATTTCAGGTGAGGACAAAAAACAAGCTATATTCTACAGGAGATCACATCTTTATGATTCCACAACTGACTTTTTTTTTTTTGGTGAGGCAATCAGGGTTAAGTGACTTGCCCAAGGTCACACAGCTAGTAAGTGTCAAGTGTCTGAGGCCAAATGTGAACTCAGGTCCTCCTGACTCCAAGGCCAAAGCTTTATCCACTTTGCCACCTAGTTGCCCCCACAACTGACTTTTAAAAAAGCAGTAAGACAAGATTTCACTGTGCTTATCACTGGTTGACATTCAATTCAGCAGAACAAAAAGTCAACTTAAAGACTCTCTTCCAACAAGAGGTTCCCACGAACATTTTAGACAATATGTAAAGTGCTATGTTACCCTTAAAATGCTACATAAATGTTAGGTATTATTCCTACCTTTTAAAGTCATACAAAATTCCTTGAAAGGTGTAATAACAAAGATAACATTATTTGATGACTCTCTAATTAATAAAAAACAAGGCAATAGACAGGCAACCATATGCTCGCCATTGGAGCACGTCCAAATGCAGGGTCCAAATAGAAGAAGTCTTCCCTATAGCTGGAAAGGTCCTCCAGATGCTCTTATTTGTGAGTAACATTGTGCTGACTATATTAAGACCTAGAACATTTTGCGTAGCTTCGTAAATTAGATCTGGAGCTTGATACAATCAGTACAATGTCATTTGCAAAAGGACTATCTGAAGGAACTCACCATTTAGATGGAATCCTTCCTAAGAATGACCCTGCATTGGACACCCTCCATGACACTGCCAACTGCCAAACACCTTCAGCAAGCATCTATCTCCCTGTTTATGCCCAATTTTCTATCAATAATCAGAAGATCACAGAAAGTCATCTCTGTTATAGGATCAAGTGATTCTTTTACCTTACATTACACAAGGAAGAAACCTTGTTAGAATAAAGTCTTTCGGGCTATACTTTGCTTTACCGAATCAAAAGCTTTTTAACATATTAATAACGATCACGGTAGTATCTTGCAATCTTACTTTTTAGTCAATTATGAAATTAAAGATCATTTGTGAAAGCCTGGAAGTTCCTTTTTCACACATAAAGGAATATGGATTTAGAGCTAGCTGGGAGAGTACTTGGAAGTCACAGATGAGGAAACTGAGGCCAGCTGAAATGCCCTCGATGCAGGTTTTTTTCAAAAATTTTGTAGTGTTGGGAAAGTAGACATATGGGTTGGTTGTTAATATTTTTTTCAGCTGCCTGTTTACAATAGTAATAACATCTGTAATTTTTCCAAGTTTTTAACATTCTACCTTTTTTCCAGCTGTCTTGAAAACTGATACCGTGACATGCTTAAGATTTCATGGTCTCAAGCCGATTTTCTTTGTCTATGTATACCTGGCCCTGGTTTGCTTGCTCTTCCTATCTTTGGTTTATTTTTTATTTTGCTTTTTGGTGAGGCAATCAGGGTTAAGTGACTTGTCCAGGGTCACACAGCTAAGAAGTATCAAGTGTCTGAACTCACATTTGAACTCAGGTCCTCCTGACTTCAAGGCCAGTGCTCTATCCACTGCACTACCTCTGGTTTTGTTTTGTTTTGTTTTTTAATATCATTTCTACATATTCACATAACAAATCAAGGATGATGATGGTAGAGTTCAAATGTGGTGAGCTCCGCTGTCAATGAAGAAGAAAAGACTTTGTAACAGAAATCCTGAGAACTTTTCTACTTTTTGTTTGTTGTCCCAGCTTGACCTTTAAATGCTCTTAAGATAATCTAGCTTAACTGGGACTCTCACCAAGCTTTCAATAAAATTATTTTTTCTTTTACTGCTTCTGTGTATTTTATGAAATGATAGCGTTCATAGTGCAACATGTGGACAGTTCAAAGACTTTATCGGTATCCTCATGATATTAGGAAAAACTGAGGAAGGCCTCCAGAATACCGATTGGATTCCCTGTGTCTACTTTATGGGAAGACAAGAGTCACATGAAGAGGTTGATATTTGCCTTGCTGAAAGAAACATTCCTATCAAAGAGATTATAGATCCATTTGGCTGGGTGAATGATCCCCAAATTCTTCCACCATTCTTCTCTAAAATTGTAAAAATAAGTGAATATTCCAAATTAGTATTAATTTTGGCTTCCATCTCTTTCTTTGAAAAGGATATCAAGCATTTGTCAAGTAATGCATTTTCTATGTATGTCTGGCTCCATAGGTGTCATTATTACTATACACTGATTAGATTTCCTTAAACAATGTTGAAAGTCTGTGCCAATTTCTATTGTTTGTATATTTCTCATTTTTAGATGTCAATAGTTTTTTTCAGATTATTTATTTTTAGTTTCCAACATTCACTTTTATAAGATTTTGAGTTCCAAATTTTCCCCCCTCCCCAAAACAGCATGCAATTTGATATAGGCTATACACATACAATCATATTAAACATATTTCCACATTAGTCATGTTATGAAAGAAGAACCAGAACAAAAGGGGAAAACCATGAGAAAGAAAAAACAAAGAGAAAACAGTGTGCTTCGACCTGCATTCAGACTCCATAGCTCTTTCTCTGGATGTGGGTAGCATTGTGCTAGAGGTCAATAGTTTCAAAAGGCCGGGATGGAGCAGTTTTAATTGTCCAACAAAGATTCTCATTTTTATCCTTTCTTCTGATTTGATTTTGATTTTAAAAGTTTGGACAGCTGATTTCAAAACGACTCATCTGTCACCGAGCAGTGGAAGGCGCACTAGATTCGGAATCAGAGAACATAGTTTCGATTCTTGTCATTTATGGCATATGTGAACTTGGGTTCATTTATTTAACATCTCTGGGCCTCACTGTCCTCATTTGGGAAGTAAGAGGGCTAGACAGATGACACATCTATGATCCCATGATTTGTAGCCAGTTGTTTCCTATCCACTAAGATAGTTTCATATTTTATGATGTTATTCATGACTTGGCAAACAAAGGTACGTTTTCATGATTAAAAAAAATGTGAAATTTCTACAAAGTTTATGAGCCTCGGACTTCCAGTCTCTTACTCCAAATCTCCAAGATTTTTCACTGTCTTTCCCTAAGCTCACTTCTACACTCAAGTCACTGCATGATGAAGTATATTAATTTGGAGGTCTTAGGAGCTGTTGATATAATTTGTCCTTGTTTTTTGCAACAGATTTTAGAATGTGAGCTGTAATCTTCTTCACAGTAGTCTTTCTGCAGTTTTTTGCAGGTACCTATCATGAGCAATGCAGCATAAGATAATCAAGTGTTTCCAGAAATGTTTCTTGTTGCTTCAGGACAAAAAAGAAAACCCAACTCTGTTAACTCCTTCAGCTGCTACTCCAAGAAGGGCCTATGGAAACATTCTTCCATTTAGCTACAACTATAGAAGGCATAAACCTTCTGATTTTGTTTATAATAAAAAGATCAGTGAGGATATGATTTGGGTCAACTAGCAGTATCAATTTGTTGGTTATTAGACAATATCTTACATTTTGAGAATGAATAATTAAGATTATTTTTACAAAGTGCTTAAAAATTCTATCATTCTTAGTACCTTCTGCCACTCCTCCTCTCTTGTTCTCCTACTCTGCCAACAAAGTACAAGAATGCACGTAGAACTGAGAGCCCTTTTATATTTCCTTGTATAACAGGTGGTCATGGTCAAAGAATTCATTGCCTATTGGCTGGCCTGCTGGTGACGTGCTTCTCTACTCTTCATTATAATGATCCTCAGAAAGCACACAGTCTGCTGCCAGGACCAGGCATGAAGTCTTTATAGCAAAGTAAATCAGGCCAGAGCTTAAGCCTTGCTGTCATATTCTTCCAGACCCAAGGATCACCCCCACGCCACAATGAGGAATCAGAGTAGGACTTTTTCCCAGGGCTACACATACAACATACATTTTATTTGAAACCAAACTTTCCATATTAAAATTACCCTTAATTTATTAACTGGCTTTAAAGGGTTTTGTTGTTGTTTTTAAACAGTCGAAACATATTAATGAGATTCAATGCATTAACTACAGCAAGAGTCAGTAAATTACAGTCTGCAGGCCAAATCTGGGCCTCTGCCTCTTTTTGTACTGCCTGCAAACTAAGAATGAGTTTTATACAGTTTTCTGACTGCTGAACTAAAGCAAACTTTTTATAACAAAATTTTAAAATTCACTTTACCTTAAAAGAAGTCACTGACCTATCTCATTTATTTATAGCCATACAAAAATAAAAAGAATTAGTATCCTTCAGAAATAAAGTTTCCCATTCCCATACTCTGTAATCAGAGTAGCAATTTTTCTGACAGCAAGAATCTGGAAATCAAGGAGTATGCAGAGTAGTTGAGGAATGGCTGAACAAACTGTAGCATGTAAACATAATGGACTATGGTTTCCTGCTAAGAAATGATGATTACTAGGAACCCCAAGAAATATAGGAAGATTTATATGAACTGATGCAAAATGTAGCTGAACCAGGAGAACAATTTTTAGACAAAAACTAGAATAATGATTAACAAGAACACTGAAAGAAGTTGACTTCTGAGGTTGTTGAAATACCAATTTTGGTTCTGTAGAACTAATGATTAAACACATCCCCCTCCTACTGGATGCAAAGTAGGAGACCACAGGTGAGCAATGTTGCATACACTGTTACGACACAGTCAAATGTCCAACGGTCAAATGTTCACAATTTTGCTTAACTGTTTTTCTTTGTTATAAGAGAGGGCTAAATTCGTGGGGGAGGTGTGAACCCTCCCTATATTGAACTACAACATGAACCTACTGTTCTGGTTCCATCTGCAAAAGACTGTTGTAAAAACCAAAGATATCAATACAATTTATTTTCCAAATAAAATGAGTGTCTTTTACTCAAAGGTAAGTTTTACAATATTTTTACCTTTAAAAGGCCTCTGTGAAAGAAAGTTAAGCCTTTGTACAGCATAGCTATAGGTTGATTTTTGTTCAGTTCTAAAGATTGCTGAAAGTCTTCATGGGCTGTTGCATAGTCCTACAAGAGAAATTATTGAAAAATGAAAAGGATTCTTTGTTGAAACAAAATTCTAACTCATTTTGTTACTAAACACAGGCATCTGGTTTTAGGACTCACTTCAAAGTTTCTATTTCATTCACCAAGATGTTTATGATTTTCTTAAGAAATGTTGGAAAGGAAAAATCCCTCACAAAGGCTCAACTACTCTTTATCTCAATTATAAAACTGAGATTATTCCAAAGTATTTTTCAGGACTTGGCTATTTCACCAGTCAATTCTTATCTTCCATTTTCCCCCAACATGAACCCTCTGTTTTGGCTCCATCAATAACTACTAAAAGGGCAAATCTTTTTGCTATAAACTCCAAGAAACTGTTCAAATTGTTACTATAATCCTCATGGAGAAGCCACAGTCACATTATAATACTTGGTCCAAACTCAGAATCACAGCTAAAAGTTAAATACTGATGCTGCTGATATGCATCCATAATAATATCTATAAGAGAAGTGAAAATACAACTTCTGCTCCAAGTTTTCTTCTGCTTCTTACTTTTCTTATCCTAATCCAACCAGTCAGTAAGTACAGGCCACCAAAGAAAGAAGTAAATTACAGGCCCTTCGCATTTTCCCACAGGATATTATTGTGAAAAAGAAGCTGTTTTCAAAAATGCTTTCCATTGCAAAGCTGCAAAACAGTCAGACCTACACCTGCCCCCTTCCCCCATATCATTATCATCAACAGTTTTCTAAGGCAAAGGGAAAGTGAAATCTTTCTTACTATAGTGGAAAATGTCCCAAAGCAAAAACAACTCACCTCTGATATGAAATGCAAGGTCCCCCTGTGTCGATAGAGTCGTGCTGATGGCTGCAGTTGGATAGCTTTAGTGAGATCGCTTACTGCTTCACTGATTCGTCCCAGAGGGGACAGTATCTAAAACCAACATATTCCATTAAGCTAGAGGGAGATCTAGGTCACCTTAAAACTGATGAACACTTTTAATCTTTCAATACTAATTTCATCTTTCTGTTTTAAAAATCAATTTTACTTAGTATAAGCACATAGCTGAATTCTTTGTACTTGGCTCAAATAGCCAAAGAAAACAAAATGATGTATTTCTTTGTCCCATGAAGAACATTGGTTAATTGACTACACGGCGATTGCTTTCACATTATTTCACATTCTGAGGCACAATAGATGCTACTTTTCTTCATATGTGCACATATTTCTTCTCTTGTTATTTATCTTTCAAATTCTATAAAACTGGAACTTGATATACATTGTTTAAAATATAGCTAAGAAGATTCATCTGAGTGACATCTCTGAATCATAAAACTAAGTCACATTTCTGGACACATTTCATCACTTACCACAATCTTTAAATACACACTCCATGGTAGCAAGTTCTATATATAGCTAGGGTTGAATGACAGCTTGCAAATTTCCAGCCCTTCATTTGTGTCTAACTTGGTAGATGCTATTTTCACTGGTTAGCTTTCTAAAGAACCCTCATTCTTTTGGGATATACTTTTCTGTTTGGCCATCATTTGGAGGTGAAGTTATGATCTTGAAAGTTAAAGGGAAAAGACATGCTGATGACCATATGACATGGAGTAATGCTTCAATTATCCATAGGTCACTTATGCAGCAACAGCAACTCTCCAGAACATAATTGGGAACCTATAGGTAAGCAAAAAAAAGGGCTCTGAGTAGCCAAAATAGGTATTATGAAACCCAAGCACTTTACTCAGAGAAAGAGTTCCCAGCAACTATTTATTCTCAGAAATAATCCTAAAAATTATGGTGTTGAGGAAAGAGTGCTGAACCCAGAGCCAGAACTAGGTCTGAGTTCTGCCTTAGACATTTACTAGATCTATGAATATAAGACATAACTTCTTCAAACCCTACTTTAGGGAATGTGCTTCGTAAATTCTAAAGCACTAGATGAAAGGGAGTTTTTATTAGGTTTCTCAGTTCACTGCAAATCTGAGATGGGTGAAGTTGAGAATCAGAAACAGTGATAGCAAGCAATAAGAAAACAGACAGAAACGCGATTTAAAAAACAGACATTAAGAACTCAAAGATCACAGCAGTCTGAAGATCATTTGGTATATGGATATACTGCCCTATGTACCTCAGCATCTACTTAGGGAATCATTAATAAATGGATAAAATGGATATTCAAAATGATAGGCCTGGGTCATCACACAAAGGTTAAATTAAGTTTAAATACATGCTGCTTAAGAAAGCAATTAAGAACTGTAAAGAATTTGGAAAGATTTCCATCAGAATGATTAAACTAAAAAAAATACTAACTTATAGAATCATAGATTTAGACCTGGAAGTTTCCTTATAGGTCATCTAGTCCCGTCCCTTTATTTTACAGATGGGGCAACTGAGGCCCAGAAAGATTAAGACATTTGCCCAAGGTCACACAGGTAGTCAGTGGCAGAAATAAGATCTGAAACCATGGCTTCTGAATCCATATTCAAAATTCTTTCCCACTACTACCTCTACTTGAAAGGGTAAGCATCATATTATCTGGAAAATTCATTTATAAATGCTTATTCCTCAATGATGTTAAATGAAGTGTAACTACTTTTCCTTTTTATTAAAATACATTCAAAAGATGTTTTCTCTGACCACTAAAATCTGTTTTGTATGCAAACAAATTTCCATTAGGATCACAATCAAAATAAAAAAGTGGATAATGTAAGTTTTTACTAAAACTCGCTGTGCAATTAAGTCTCATTTCTGGAAATGCTCAATCTGCATTTTATCAGATTTTAGCAGAGTCAAAGGTAGTCACATCCTTATATTACATTACTAAGGGCAAAGGGATGTATACATGCACATACTTTGTACCCAGGATACAAGAGCACCAAATCAATCATTGAATATTACATACTAAGCACCCACTTGTACATGGTACCTTTTTCTTTTTTTTAAAGGCAACTGGGGTTAAGTGACTTGCCCAGGGTCACACAGTTAGTAAATGGCAAGTGTTTGTTCTGAGGCCGGATTTGAACTCAGGTCCTCCTGACTTCAGGGCCTGTGCTCTATCCACTATGCCACCTAGCTGCCCCTACACGGTACTTTTTTGAGACTATGTAAACAGGAAAATCAATATGATCTCTCTATTACCAATTTATAATAAATAAGTATGGGATTTGAGTTTTGTTTCAGATTCTTATTTAAAACAAAAACTGATAAAACTTGAACTAGTAATCAGATAGTTTACTTTAAGAAAGATTTAATTTAATTGCCATCTGATTTTCTGAGCATTGTTGGTACCTTTTTTGCTAAATCTTTATTTAAGAAAAGGTTTTTTTAAAAAAAACAGTTTAAAAAAGTATCAACACTTATTGTTCCCTTTTGCTTTGTCCAAGCACTACACAAAAAAATTTAAATCAAATGGGAAAACTGCCAATACCTAATTAAATGACTTGTTAGAAATCACACACAGAAATAAGTTGTGTTTTGGCCACAGTGCCTATAATGAGTACACCGTACATAGTAAGGATTTAAATATATTTGTTAAATGAAAGAATAAAAATCTCACATAAAATGTGTAGGAAAATAAATACAACATGAAACATTAATAAACTATTACATCTTTGCAAAGGTAAATATGTAATTTCATTATAGCTTTTGTGGTTTTTACTTTTAACTAGATTATGACATAGTTTATAAAATAATTACATTCCTAAAATCAACATGTCACCTTATATTTTGCTTTAAAATTTCACGATAACAACCAAAACATGATGTCATATACTCTCAGAAATTACCCTCTTGCTTACATTTAGTGTGATCCTTATATATGAGTTCAGAAATAAGAAAAATTTTCTTCTTAGAACAAGTACCTTTAAAAACATTAGTTACCAATAAAAGAACATAGTGCTAGGAAGTAAAATTTTTAAAAATTAAAGAAGAGAAAATCAGACACACTAAAATCCAACCAATGTACCAATGACTGGAGGGGTAAGGAGAACATCAAGGGGACTCACCTCGGCTCGCTGCTCAAATACTTCTGGATGATCTGGTTCCAAGGTAATTACTCGACTCAGTTCAAACAAAGCAAGTTCAGCATTCTTAATGTCCTTAAAAAGTAATTAGGGACATATCATTGCTCAAAAACAATTCCAAATGATTTTCTGATAGAAACACTATTTAGTAATGCTACAAATGGTAGGATAGAAATCAATGTGTAATGATAGCTACACTCAATACCCTTTACCAAAATATACTTTTTAATTAACAGGTGTTTAGATTCCTCAATTTCCTAATTAATGGGGCCTTAATCAAGTCTACTTTAATCTAACTCACTGCAATTACAAATACCCCAAAATTAATGCATGTAAGTATTTACTGGACTCAAGCATTTATCTAATATCCTAAAATGCTTTCCCCCCAAACTTCTGTTTTAAAAAACAACAAAAACTCTGACGGAGACCTATTATCTCAATTTCTATGATTATCATTAAAAATAAAATCTCTAAATGTGCCTTCATTGAGTCAGTGACCTTCAAGGTCATCAGATTTGCTGTGGCAAAGGGAGAAAAAGAGACTAAATCATAGTCACTCTCAAAAACCATAAACATATAACTATAATTTATCTACTCCTTAAAAAGCATGTACATTTCAGAATTAATCTTGAGCCAGGCTATGAAGCTTACTAAGGAGACAAGGGAGAGGCAGCTCATTTCTGCATTCCTAGAATATATCTGTTTCTGATAACTATCAATTCCTTACTCTCTGGGTAAAAACATGTTCCGTCACATACCTAATCATACACTGAATTTTTTTTTTTATTACAACAGGGCCAAGAAATTGAAACTTCCTTGAAACTACATTTCATCTTGTCTTTTTATATTCAGGACATAGCATAGTACCATTTATTATTGGTTGGTTTGTTTTTATCTGGACATGTGATTTCATTGGAATTCTAGCTGAGTAAACTCTTACTGGTCTACTTAACTAGTATTTATTAAATACCTACTATGTACCAGGCACTGTGCTAAGATATATAAAGAAAGATATAGATATAGATATATATAGATACACACACACACACACACACACAAAAGCAATAGGCAGTCCAGCTCACAAGGAGCTTATGGTCTAGTGGAGAAGGCTACCAGCAGTTATGTCCAAAAAATGCAAATCAGCAACGGTTCTGCAATTTATAGTCTTAGAGAGTTGCCTGGAGCTCTGAGAGATTAAGTGATTTGTCTAGGGTCATATAGTCAGCTTTTGTGGGAGGCAGGATTTCAGCCCAAGATTTCCTGATTTTTGGCTAGCCAGCAATCTTTTATCTTGCGTACAGGAAGTGCTTAATAAAAGCCTGTTGGACAGTTTTGGATTTTTACAATTAGCAGTTTCTAAGTAGCAAAAGCTTTTAAAAGTTAGATTCCCCTCCCCTAAAAGTATACCTTAAAGTTTCAGCAATTTACAGTATAGTATTTGTGGCACAAGCAAGTTTTTATGCATCAAGTTTTAGACGAAGTGCTTCAAAACATGCCTCCTGGACAATCCCAGCTCTGCCCCTCACTTCCACAGTCACCATTTATGACTGTTTCATGTCACTTTTTCCTAGCCTCTCAGAGGGACTGAGGGAAGCAATGAAATAATACCTGAAAAGTACTAAAAACATCCAAGATAATATACATGGAATATAAGAAGACATCTCCCACCTCACAATTCAAGGAAGACTAAGGAAACCTCAAGAGAATTAAAAGCAGTTCCTCATTGAAGTTAATGGCGACTATTCCTCAACGTGTTTTCAACCCTCATCATTTGCCTCTAGAGCTGTTAATTGAATTCCCAACAGATTTGGAACTCAGAGGAACTTTAGGAGTCATTGAGTCCAACTCCCATCATTTTACAGACGGAGAAACTGAGGCCCAGAGAAGCAAATTCTAGTAGACTGGAAGCTACTTAAAGACAAACTTTTTCATCCTGTTTTTCATATCCCTGGCACCAAACGGGGCCTCACATGCACACAACTGGGTCCTCTGACTCAACCCACAGTTCTTCCATCTCTATCGGTGGTGTCAAACTACATAAGGATCCTTGCGGCTGCATACTGACTTTGTTTTAAAATGTAATGTTATTTATATTTCATTGTATTTTCATTTATTTTGTTAAATATTTCCCAACTACATCGTAATCCTGTTCGGCTGCCCCAGAGAATGTTGCGGGCTGCAGGGCTGGCAGCAGCAGTATGTTTGACCCCTCCCCGGTCTACATCTTGCTGACTCTCCATTGCCTCCCCTGTGATGTACTAGCAATCCAGGTTTAACCCTTCTTTGCTCAAACCTCATTTCGGCAGGAGCTGTAGGCTAGATCAGGGCTGACTTAATACGGCACAATTTCATCCACCTCAGTTATCTGCCTAAATGGAGTATGTAAAATATAATTTAGCCTTTCTTTAATGATTCAAGGCAAAAAAATGATGATCAATTATTTTTCTGTGCTTTAATATAGGATGCCCTCAAAGAATACTGAGGTGTATAAGGTTGATTACCCTTATATCAATTAGCTCTGGACCACTATTTTTAATTTCGGTTTTTCATAGCTTTTCTGTTTTCTCTCTTGCACCATGTATTTTAGAAAGGTTTCATGAAAAAATTATTCAAATAAATTAAATTATAGCATTTAGAAGGCTGTGCTTCAAATATCTGAGGAAAATCCAATTATATTCCTTGTTGATGCAAACCAACAAAGTATCCTCACTGAAGCCACCATTATCAAATACTCACCTGCAGTCCCTTCTTTCCATAGGCTATCCCTCGGCCATAAATTGCACTAACGAGCTCAGGCTCCTCCTAGACAGGAGAGCAAAAATGTAGCATGGCATTAACAAATAAAAGAAATACTAGTTACTAATTAGGGCAGGTGTATGCCTCAGGTAAATGTTTTTCTTCAACAGGCTAATACCACCTGAGTTAGTTCAAGTAGGAGATTCCAAACAGCTTCTGTTTGAGGAGTATTAGGGAGAAGGGAATCAGAGGAATTAGTGCCTGTTTCCACAGGGTCCAGCAGGCAAGAGCTACAAGGACTTCTGTGAAGGCATCTGGGAATGATGGTGGCAGTGCCTCTGGTAATAATGGCTCCCAGGGAGCAGCTGCAGAAGTAGATCCTTTGATAAACAGTTGCATGGGGGTGAAAAGCAAAGAAATCAGAGTCCTTCCTCTAAATAGAAGTGTAATCTCCTCGAGATGATTGGAACGGGGAGATAGAGCTGGGGCAGTTTCAAGGGAGTGGAGTTTAGGAGTAGAGTGAGAAGAGCAAACCCCTAATGGCATCAAAGGGGAAAAGGGTGTTCCTAGAGCTACATGAGCCAGGGAGTTGAATCCACAAGGTTGGCTAATATTGATGTTGATCTTTTGTTTTCGAAGAGGGCCAGTGACATCACAAGGTGATGTCTTAACTTGCATGTGAATTGGATTTAAGGGAGGCAAAGCTGCACAGTCATCAGCCTCACTCTCTCTTCCTTAATCATCCAAGTGTAGTGGCAAGACAAAAGTCAAGACAACCAGTGGATGGCTCAGGATGCAGTGGATGACCCTGGCATCTTTGATGTCTGAACAAGCTACAAATACTCCACAGCTCCTGCTTCAGCCACCTTCATGGCCATTGGAACAGTGTTCTCAAACTGCCATCCCACTGGGGGGAAGTCTTCACACGCTTGGGGTACACATTCTCCTAACTCTTCAGTGGGTTTGAGGCCTGTCAATTACCCTTAACCCAATTTAGCCCATCTGCTGAGATGGTTTTACCAGGGTATGGCCACTGCACATACTATAGATTCTTGGAGCCACAAGAGAGAGAGTTGGGTGGCAGGTGGACACCAAAGGTGGATGAGCAGCCCTGAAAAGGGATTGGGAAGCCCTCACAACAGAGATGCTAGTCCTCCTGAACACCCCACAATACCCCAGTGAATTCTCACGGACTTTGTTGAGGGAATCAAGTCAGCACTGATGGCAGGAATCCCAATAAAATCATAGAATTCTTGAAACAATTTGCATTTTGAGGGGCAAATGCCAGCTAGCTGGAAAAGTCCCACCCATTGGATTCATTCCCTGTTACTACCTCTGCAAAATAAATGAGGTGTCACTATAGAACACTCATATAAACACAAAATTCTAATCACTTTCCTATTAACTTGTAAGTATTACACTTTTCTTGGTTCCCAAATAGGACATTCACAACTCAGGGATTACTTTATAAAACTTTATATTGAAGTTAGGATAGTTTTCTAGGCTTCACCACAGCTTGAACAAAATAGCCAACAAAACTAAACAACTTGTTTGGTTCTTAATCCATGCTTACCAATAAATCACTTTTCATGACTAATTAAGTTTCCTAGGTATCTTGAAACTTGGAAAGGATGACCGTACTAGTGAAGTAAGAATGTACCCAGTCGACAAAAATGTAGATGACCCATTGCAAATTAACAAAATAGCATTTTTGTTTATATTTTGGTTTCCTGTGAACTTGGCTAGCATAAATCAGTCCTCTTGAGACTAATCATCCCTCAGTGACCTAATGAAATTGAATTTCATTCAGTTTGGACGTCCAAGACTCAGGACAAAGATGACACCACAAAAGGACATAAGGCTTTTCTTGAAACCCTGCCAGCCTCTTTCTAACCAACTTGATGATAACACAGCTCATGACTGGAACACTGTGTCTTATTTCTAGTCAGCATTTTCCACTTCACGAAAACAAAGATTTCTGTGAAGAAATGCTAATTTAAAAAAAAAGATTATAAATCACTTTGCAAATGTAAAGTTAAATGTGAAGAATGCTACAGTAACAGTTTTAGTGAACAAGGCAGAAACAATATTTTTATGGACCTCTGGAACTTCATTGCAAGGAAGATGCTAAATGAAAAGCATCTTCCATTCACTGAATGTCAGTTTCCACAGTGTATGTATTTTAAACAATCACATAACTTTACCTTCTGTGAATCAATTATATGTTTTAAATTGTCTGTTATTTCTACCATCACCTGATTAATTCCAGAAGTATTCAGCATAATGGAGTGACAATAAAGAAAGCAGTCTAAACTCACAACCTAGAACACATTTCCAAAGGAAAACTGTACGCTGAAATATATCTTATTACAAATTAGTTATAATTTCAGTCAGTGCCATATTTTACCAACTTTGTTCTACTAGTAAATAAGGTACATTACATCTGCAAAGTTATAAGTGGTTTTTCTGCTTGTCAAATCACAACAACAGATTGCTCTCCTTAAACACATGTACTGGGAAGGTTGCCAAGAGAAAGAGTTCTTGAATAATGAGTAAATTAGACAGTTATTGATTTCTATAATTGCTCGTTTCAAATAGCTGTCAGGAATAAACTAGTGTTTGCTCTTGTAATTGTCCCATGTAAGCGAGCCCTTCCTCGCTCAACGCAGGTAGGTTCCCTTGATGTGACAGGCTTCAATTTTATAATGTTTCAATGGCAAGCAACCAGTACATTAAAAAAACTATTCATAAATTAATCCAATTCTGCACCAAAGCCCAATGAATGAACAATAATGATCCATAACAACTTTGTTCTAAGATCCTCAAATGAAATAAACCAAAGCAGAAGGATGATGGTAATGCTGTAATTAACTAAAAAAAACAAAAACTGGTGCTTTAAAAACTAATGCTCCAAACTGGAGTATAAATATCTGTCACATCAACTACTTTTTGTTTAATAAACCCTTAAGTTGGTTATACCTTTGATACTCATGCACAACAATCACAGGTACGGAAACAAAATCTTTGAGCACTGTTTGAGGCAGATAATGAAGAATGCTTAAGAGAGAGTATTAATCAACAAAATGTTAGTGAGTACCTATAGTGAACATAAACAATTGGTAAAAGAAGAAAAAAAACAAAGAACCTGAATTATAAATTATTTTCAATAGCCTTACATTTGTGTATGTAAATAATCTCTCTTGACGTATGCTTTAATTCTGTCAGTAACCTAAATATTGGTCCACGTATTTCCACCAGAGGAAATCATGCCATTACATAGAAACAAAGCCATAAATGGATCTTAATCAATCAACTTCTGTGTACAAAGTCAAGATACACACCATTTAATCTTAATTCAATAATTCTCTGCCTGTAAACTAGATATTATTATTACAAATGTAAACTAGATATTATTACAACAAATGATTGTTTGGGTTTGGGAAACATAGCTTCTATCGACTAAGTAATGTTTTACATGTAAACATACTATTATTTTTCAAATGTATGTAGATGCTATTGTGATTAATAAAACACAAATTAATTTCACAGTGAAAAAAGGGAAGAAAAACAGTAAGATCAACAATTGCTCCAACCACCTAAATCTGAAAGAGCCTTGAACATCACTCCATAGAAAACATTTTGCCCTATGTGGAAAAAATCTTTAACCTGGTTAAGATCATAAACTTTAAAATTATATTACATAGAAGATGAAAAATTACCTGGAGCATGGATGAAAAATGTCTTATTGCTTCATCATACAGACCACTGCCAATCAACACATAAGCAATAGCTATAAAACAAAATAAAATGGAAATATGTTAAGACATAAAAATGAAAGTATAAGATAATTAAGGGCAGCTATGTGGCGCAGTGGATAGATTGCCAGGCCTGGAGTCAGAAAGACTCATCTTCTTGAGTTCAAATCTAGCCTCAGACACTTACTAGCTGTGTGCCCCTAGGCAAGTCACTTAACCTTGTTTGTCTCAGTTTCCTCTTCTATAAAATGAACTGAAGAAGTGAATGGCAAACCACCCCTGTATTTTTGGCAGGAAAACCCCAAATGGGATCACAAAGACTCAGACATGACTGAAAACGACTGAACAACAACAATAAAATAATTACACAGAGTAAAAAGTGAGCTGCGTCCTTCTGCGCCAGACCGTCAATACAAAAATTGGAGAAGAAGCCCTCTGTGGGTACTAGAGTCAAATGCAGCTTTTCAGAATGAATTGGATATTTTCAGGACATATACTTTAGATTACATCTAAACTAGAAGTGCCAAACATGCAGCCCACTGGGCAGGAAAACCTGATTAAAATGTAACAGGAAAATATTTAACAGAATAAATATAATACCATGATAAAAATAATATTAATAATAACTAATAAATAGCTAGCATTTATAGAGTGCTTACTATGTGCCAGGCACTAAGCTAAGCATTTTATAAATATTATCTCATTTGGCCCTCACAATAATCTTGGGAGTTAGATGCTATTAATATCCCCATTATTAATTTTTAAAATAATAATTCCCATTATTTAATTTTTCTAACCAATTCTAAAACAAATCTTACTGATATTAGAGTCCCTTTCATTTCAGTTAAAGAAACTGAGGCAAACAGAGGTTAAATAACTTGTCTAGGTCACAAAGCTAATAAGTGTTCACTGCTCAATCCAATGGGCTTCAAAGTGTGGTAAGAAACCAAAAAAGTTAAGTCATATCCAGTCTAGTTTTAGTGTTGGGTTTCTATAGTATGGTTTTCTGAAAAGTCATAATATAAGCATTTCTGGCAAGGTAATGAAATCAGAGGTGGCAAAGAGAGACCGGTTACTCAATGTTCCCCTGAAGAAATAAAAATGTCATTAAATAAATAGTTAGATTAATAAATAAGAAAGGAGGAAAAAGGGAATTAACTGAAGAATCTCAAAAGAAAATAGCCTCTTGGATAAAGAAAAGGAAAAGATGAGGAAATGAGCAATCAGCAGCAACAAGTTTCCCAGATGATGAGCAAATATAGCAGATTAAAAGATCCTGAAGAGAAATCACTAGAAGGAAAAAAAACAAACAAACATATTAACTTCAACATTGGACTAAAAAAGGGAGATGGTCCTGATGCAATGACACATCTAACTAAATAATAAACATACTAAAAGAAATGAAGGGGGACTCTAATATCAGTAAGATTCATTTTAGGATTGTTTAAAAAAATTAATAGCAAAAGTAAAAAATTCAGAAAATGTGATTAAAAAATTTGAAGGAATGGAATAAATTCTCTGGTTAGAAGCCAATAGTTTAGTTAGAAGAAGCAGGAGATATGGGAAAACAATTTTTAAAAAGACTCTACTTGGGAAAAGAGTTGGAAACTTTATAAGGAAAGATGACAGAACTGGAAGACAGAGATTAAAAAGATAATATAAGAATGATGAAATCATTCAAAAATGCAAAAAAATGGAAATTCACAAATTTTCTGGAAATTGCTAAAAAAAAAAAAAAAAAATTTCCCCAGAATCATTAAGATCAAGTAACAGACACAGGATTTTTTTTTTAAGCAGTTGGGAGGGAAAAAAAAAATCACATTTCTATTTAATTCAGCTAGTATTTATTAGTTAACTGCCTCCTGGGTGCTAGTAACTATGCCAGGCACAAAGGATACAAAGTCAAGTAAGGTGTTTATATCCTACATATAGTTATCCCCTAACACTCATGAGTTTCAGTTTCCCGGTTTTGGTTATTTGAGACTTGGCACCAACAATTAAACGGGAATTTTTGGAGATTTGCAATATATTGTGAAAAATAATGGACAATTCACGAATAGAAAAAAAACTAAAAATTTTAATGTCATAAATGCATAAATAATGTATATTATTAATCTATTTTATCATTTATTACTTTAAGTATACACACATAAATTTATTCTGAACAATTAAATTTTGTTAAAATTTCCAGTGTCTGCATACTCTCTTTGGGAACCCCTCTCCTCTGTCTCTCAGCCATCCTGACTGAGGCATGTCATTGGTTGGAGCTTATGCTTTTCTTAGGAGAAGGAAATTTGTGAAGCAGTTGCTGTAGCTATCTATACCAGCTGCGGATTCAAAGACTCTGCATTGCATGCGAAGTACTAATCTGTCTCACATACAACCTGAAATTTTTTTATGGTGCAGTGTGTCATTTTACTTCTTTCGTGTGTTAAATAAATATGATCAGAATTATTAAAAATGAAGGTTTGGGGTGGAGTCTAAAGTTATTTGTTGTTTTTTTTACATTTGCAGAGGTCCTGCCCCGCCCCATGTCAAGGGACAACTGTGCACAAATACACATACACAAACTAAATGCAAAATAATGGAAGAGGGATTAACATCTAGGAGGATCCAAAAAGATTTGTTGAAGGTGACATTTGAGCTGAGCCTCTGAAAGGTTCTAGGGGTTCTAAGACGAGACTAGAAAGAAAAAGGAAGAGATCAGAAACTAGGGGCACCGCTCATGCAAAGGCATGAAGGCAGCACACGGAATGTCACATATGGAGACAAAGTAGACGAGTTCATCTGGACTGGAGCATGGGTGAGGAATGGAATTGGAAATCCCTTATGCACTTACTAGGTGCTAAGTGCTGGGGATACAAATAGAAAACAAGACAGTCTCTACTCTTAAGGAACTCATATGCTAGGTGGGAGAGGCAACACAAAAGGGAGGGTTCAGATGCATGGCAGATGGACCAGACAGACAGTACTTGGGAAAGGAAAGTAGGGGAGCAGGTGGCAAGGTTTAAGGATCTTAGCTGTAAATCTCAAGGCAGATGGTTAGTCTCCTACCAAAAATATGGTGGATTCAAGGGTCAGAGTAGAATGGAGGTATCTGTGACAGAGGCAGGGACTTAAAATCAATCTGGAAAAACAGCCTTGAAAAAGATTATGAAGTTTTAAACAGCAAAAGAAGCTAGAGGCAAAAAGGAATCATTGAAACTTCTGGAGAAGGAGAGTGACTCAAACATGTGCCTCAAAAATAGTAACATGGCAACGTGGTGTTGAATATATTGGTAAGGGGAGAAGCTATTCGCAGGGAGACCAGTTAGAAAGCTTTTTAATAGTGTAAGGTCAGAGGTGACAAGAACCTCATTCAAGGTGGTTTTAGCACATGTGAATGGGAAAAAAAGGGTGGACAAGACATGCTATGAAGGTAAAAGGGGATAAGATTAAAGAGTTGAGGATGACCTCTTCAACCCAGCTCCACTAGGAACAATATAGAAAGATATATAGAGATGGGAGCACCTCCTCCAAGGCTCACTCTCCCAACTTCCTTAAACAGAAGAGAAGGCGCTAGTAGAGAAGGAAAGACTGAAAACACCCATCATTATAACAATCATTTTTCTTAGAATCATGACACTAAGAATATATAACCTCACACATTACACACAGGGTTCAGTCCCTTCCTTTTACAATAATGAAACTGAAGCTCAGAGAGGCCGATTAACCTGTAAGGCTGACATGGCTAGATTAGAACCCAAATTCCAGGCCTGCATTTGCAATACACAACACTGCCATATTGTTGTGAATCTGCTTATAAGAGCAGCGTAGACGAAGCACTGATACTTCCAGAATATCTTACCTAATTCTTCATTTGTGTTGTCATTATCAGTAGCAAAAGGTAATCGCTTTTGTTCTGCAAGGGACTTTGCCTGGTTCTGCAAAACATCAAATAATCACTTTTAGTAATTGCAGGGATGCAGGAAAGGTCCATTTTTAAAAGATACATTTCACATAAAACTAGAAAAATCTAAGAGAAAAACCATTAAAGGTAATTACAAAATTGTAGTAAATACTAAAATGTGTTTGTCTGTGAAGGGGGCAATGATGAGATTGGAAGTAAATCAGTTCTATAAATTTTTTAATTGGAAATAGTACTGGTTGGCTGCACAAAAGTTGTTGCATGATTTTAAAGGTTTCTGGCAGCAATAATGCAATTATTCTGTAAAGATGATACATCAGGAATTACTCCTTAAGCAATTGGAATATGGCATTATAAATGTGAACTTTGATACTTTAGAAAAAATAGTTATGGCATATATTGGTACAGAGCTGTAGAAAAAAGATAAACAACTCCTGACCAAAAGTCCAATCATCTTGTCAGCATATAAAAATAAATACACAAATGGGGCTTATTTGTATAATCATTGCCACTAAGATTTGTGGAAACTTCTTCCAGTCTGACTCTTGCCCCACCACGTAACTGAAATTGTTCTCAAAGGTCACCAATCACCTAATTATTGAATAATTACCTTTTCTTAGTCCTTCTTCACCTTGACCTCTCTATAAGACAACAGAGGGCTACCCATTCCTTCTTGATACCAACTTCCTTAGCTTGGTGACATAATCTTAAGGTTCTTCTACCTTCCTGAATTTCTTCTGTTCTCTTCTCTAGCTTTTCTTCCTCTTCCACTTTCTAAACATAGCTGTTTTGTCTAAAGCTCCTTTGGTTTCAGTTATTACCTCTATGCAAACAATTCCTACATCTATCTTTGGTTCTGACTCCCCTCACAACTCCCCACCAACTGCTTGTTGGACATTTCTACCTGAATATCCCACACCAAAGCCCGAAACTTAAAACGTTCAAAACAAAATGTATCTTTGCCCTACCCCTCATCCTAACTTCTCCATTTCTGTTAAGCGTACTGACAATCTCCTAGTATTTTAAACTCATAACCTTTCAGTAGTCTTCTTAACTGTTCTCTCCCTCACCTGTCACATATACCAGTTGTCAAATTTTGTCAATTCTACCTCCACAAAATCTCTTAGATCCACCCCTTCCTTTCTATTCTCATCACCTTCCATGGTTCCTAACAAGGAATCTGTTGTGTGGGTAAATTTCAGTAGATCAGTGAACTTGGATGGGAAAAAAAATGACATCTTTATTTTCACTAATCTTTGATTTACTTTTTAACCTTGGGTATTTTATTTTATGTATTTAAAAATCATTATTCTGAGAAAGGGTCCACAGGCTTCAGCAGACTACCATAGGGGTCTGTATCAGAGAAAAAGTTAAGAACCCCTATCTTAGACTTTTGTTACCTCTCAACTGGACTATAACAGAAGTCTTTTAATTGTCTCTCATACTGTAGTATTTCTCTGCTCCAATTCAGTCTCTGTACTGCCAGGGCAATTTTTCTAATGTGCAGCTTTGATCATGTTATTCCTCTGCTTAAAAGAGTGACATATTCTCTCCATACTGCAAACCTCAAAAATTCCAAACTCTTTAGACTAGCATTATTAGAAGCCCTCCCCACCACACTTCAACACATAACTTTCCAGCCTTATTTCATGTTTCATTTATTCTATGTTCCTGCACTGAGCTTTAATGACAAACCCAATAAATCACTGTATTCTAAACTCATTCTACCCTTCTTCCTTTGTGCCTTTCTTTGCTCACCCTGTCACCACCAGCCCTCTCACTCCCAACTAATCTGTTTAACCACATAGCTTTCTCCAATCACCCCAAAGAAGGGAAGGCAAAAAACTTTTTTCACCCTTTTTGATCTCTAACAGCACTTAGAGACCCCTATGGATTTACATTCAAATTTGGATTTTGTCTTATTTACTGCACCCATTTATTGAACTGTAAACTCCCCAAAAGCTTTAAGTTAGTTATCTTTGTCTTTATCTAGTAACATAATAGCTTTTTCAATTCAATTTACATTTATTAGGCATCATAAAAAGTTATTCAGAAGAAAAGGAACCGGAACAAAAGAAAAGCAATTATCTATAGCTAAGATAGTTTTAACTGTAATAGTAGAACATTTTATACAACTATGGCTCTAGCATGTTTTGACAGTTCAAAAAGGCATCACTTCTTTTTCTTCTGTTTTTTTGTTTTTATTTTTTCCACTTAATACTATTTTATTTTTTCCAATTACATGTAAAGATGGTTTTCAACATTCACTTTTACAAGATTTTGAGTTCCAAATTTTCTTCTCCCTTCCCTTCCCCCTCACCAAGATGGCAAGCAATCTGACATAGGCTACACATGTACCATCATATTAAACATGTTTCCACATTAGTCATGTTGTGAAAGAAGAATCAGAACAAAAGGGAAAAACCATGAGAAAGAAAAAAAAGAGAGAAAAATAGTGTTTCAGACTCTGTGGTTCTTTCTCTGGATGTGGATAGCATTTTCTACATGAATAAAAGAGCATCACTTTTACATACTTTCCAGACCACCAGGAGATTTTTATCCCAATAAGCAAGTGTAATATGCTTGACCAATTGGATTCATAATAAAATTATGAGTTTATACCAGATTCATCTGAGGCATACAACATAATATAGGTGAGGAAAACTAAGGCATATGAAGGAGTAAGAAGTTCTGTCCCAGCTATGAAGAGGATTTAGTGACACCCCAGAGTTTTAAGAATGAGATTTAGCAATTTTCTTAAAAAATATTTTTAGTCTATACCACTGCTAGCATTTCTCTTGTATGTTATCAATTTAATAAAATTTTAAATGCCTCCTTTATGCAGGATATTATGCTGGACAACTATATATATACATATATATATATATATATACACACACACATACATACATATATTTATGAGCAAGTCATAAGGTTAGGCAGATCACTAAAGTGATCTCTACAATTCCTCTGACACTGACATTGTTCACAGGCAATTCTTTTGGCTACCAAAATTTAACTGCTTAGTGCATCTGAGTTATTTATTGCTCTAACTCATGATCACGGAAACCAAGTTGCTTTTATACATATTATTACTATTAAGAATGAGAATTTCTAATTAGGGTTTATGATCATTTTAAGAGGCATTTTTCATGTTCTTCCTGTGAGAAAGTCAAGATGATTTGACAATGTCACATATCAAGTTCATCAGAAAGCTAGTCTTAGAATTTATCGACTTTGGTAATGATAATAATAATGATGATGATAGCTAGCATTTACAAAACACTTTGTAAGGTAGGTGCTATTATTACTCCTATTTACAGATGAGAAACCTGAAGCAAACAGAGTGACTTGTCCATGGTTATACAGCAAGTGTCTGAGGCCGCATTTGAACTCAGATCTTCCTAACTCCAGGCCCAGTACTCTATCCACTGGGCTAACCATCTTAAACGTTTGTGACACTCTTCTAATAGTTTTTTGTGCTTTTAAGATAATGGCTGATATACATCAGCCCGGAGAGATTCTGGGAATCATTAAGTTCTATTGAATTAAATTATTGGGAGAAAAAGATGATTTCCATTAGCAATCTTACCACAGGTACCCCAAACCCTTGTTAATGTTCAGATTATAGAGTGACAGTCTAACAGGTAAAGAGAAAAGTGGCTGGTTAAAATACAAATCACTGCTTAGAATCAGTCTGATGAAACCTACAAGGATACCTTGTCAGAAAAGCTTCAGTGATTCACTGTTATTACTCTGAGAAGGCCAGGTAAAAGCCACCTTTGGAAATACAGCTGTAACTCATGGTCCAAGGTCTCCCTAGGACTCTAGGATCACATGACCCAGTCCAATCTTGGGGGCTATTCCATGGAGGTTAGTTTCTCACTTTGGCATACCCTCACCTTACTCTAGGAAATCTCAAGACAAAGTTCAAGTATGACTCATTTCCAGATTCCACCAATAAAAGGTGTCTCTAGCTCCCAAACACTCAAAGAAGCACATGCAAATTGTGTATATCTCAGTCTTTATTTTACCCAAAATACACAAAGGACTCCCAGGAATCCATAAACAGATTTAGAAACACATGAAACACTTGAATAGTCCATCAATTCTTCCTAACTCTGAAAGGAATTGAATTCGGGGTTGCTCTTACACTAACCCTTTGACATTCCAGGAAATCCCTCTTTCCCAGAGTTCTATATAGTCCCCACAAGGCTCACAGCACTATCCTGTGGATTTAGACTGCTACCAGGTAAATATACTTTGGGAATAGCTAAACAAGCAACCTACTTCACATCAGACCTTCAAGGTTTAATTTACATTCTGGACTTGCTTTCCAAGTAGGATATAGCTTAGGAACTATGGAGCTAATCTCTGCTGTCTTCAAATCCAGGAAATTTCACTCTTCCTCTAGAAAATTCAATCCCTGAGCCTTTAAACTTGCAATCTCTCAAACCTGGGAACACATGAACTTAAGTCAAATGAGGACTCAATTGTCTGCCTCTGCTACATACTTCTCTCACTGCCCTGGCGGCTACCAACTTTGGGATTCATAAGTTCTGATCACAAGAACACTAGTCTCTAAGACATACTCAGAGAAGCTTTAGGTGAACACATGTAATTCTCATGTACTGCTACCTCAAGATGGGAAGAGGGAGAAGGCTGGTATAGAGAAATCCAGTTCCTTCTCCTTTGGTGCACTCCAGAAGAAAGGCTCAAGGGAAAAGACAGAAATGGGAAAAGTACTGAAGAAAGATTAACCTGGTCCATCAGCTTTTTTTTTCTTCTGGACTCCTTACCTTCTACATGGTTCTCAAATAGTGTCCTACTGGGACAACAAATTCAGTAAGTTACTCAGGCAGAGTAGATCCAATGGAAAGGTAGATCCAGCCATGAGCTATGCCTAAGATTTATTTTGAGAAATGTCCTTGAACAACAACAGGTAGGGGCAATGAGCCAAAGAAAGAAACAGATCCTTATGAATTAGCTCCCACGATAAGATCTAAACCATGTGAG